CCCGTCCGAATCGTGGCGAGGCCCTCCCTGGGCGCAGGATCGCTGCATGCGCCCTCCTGGCCTGGCCAGGGAGTCATACATGCGCCGATCCCGGGCACAGGATGGGCCCTGCCAGGATACATGCGCCGATCCTGGGCACAGGGTCGGCGCATGCACGACCCGAGGTCCTAAATGCCCCCCTTCCGCCCCGACCCTGGCCCTTCTCCTTCGACCTCCGTCCTCCGCCTCCCTCATCCACCTCCCTCCTTCGCCTCCCTCCTCATGTCTCCCTCCTCCCTCCTCCGTCCTCCACCGTCCTCCTCCTCCCTTTCCTCCTCCTCCTCCTCCGTCCTACGTCCTCCGTCCTCCGTCCTCCGTCCTACGTCCTCCGTCCTCCTCCCCCTCCTCCTCTCCTCCTCCTCCTCCCGCCTCTCCGCCTCCCTCCTCCCGTCTCCTTCCTCTGTCCTCCATCCTCCTTCGTCCTCCGTCCTCCGTCCTCCTCCTCCTCCTCCTCCTCCTCCTCCTCCTCCTCCGCCTCCGCCTCCCTCCTCCCGTCTCCTTCCTCCGTTCTCCCTTTGTCCTTTGTCCTCCGTCCTCCTCCGTCCGCCTAACGCGAAAATGCCCACTTTCGCCCAGCCCTGCGCCGCTCGCCACGGGGCGCCGCGCGCTCGCCCGAGCGCCGCGCGCCCGCGGCGTCACGAGACCAAGGCCGCGCCGCGGGCCGCCTCCGGAGGTGTTCAAAAGCTTCAGCGGTAGCTGATGGGAACCGTCCATCGGTCCTTGCTGTTCGGCAAACTTATGTGATAACTGATGAAAACTGATGAAAACTGATGTTCAACAACTTGTGTGATGACTGTGTTGGAAAAAACGTATGTGATCTTGCTGGCCCTTGCTTATCGGCACTAACCGACGTTGGATCGACGCTAAACCGGCGGTCTCTCATCGGTGACCAGACGCTAGCGCGCGCTACGCGGAATTACGAGAACACACGAGGCTCTCCAAAGTTGCCATCGAACAAACCAGAGGACCAGGGAGGATCGCGTCTGTCTGTAATCCTGATGCGTTCTCCTTCTGGCGTCGTCGTTCACGTCGTCATCGACTTCCTGCTTCTCCGTGTTTCTCTTGTTTGCCCAGTCTCCAGCGTCCAAAACAGGGAAACGAGTAGTATCGGATCTGTTGGTATCTTTGATGAAGTTTCCTGATGGCGTCGTCCTCATCGTCGTAGACTTCCTGCTTTGCCGTGGCTCTCCTGTTTCTCGAGTCCCCTGCACAAGAGGGCAGCCCGCACTGCTGTTCGACTCAGTGCCAAAGCGCGGTGCCAAGGGCTGGCGCGATGCCCCTGTACTATTCTGAAAATCTCCCATTGGGCCTCGAAGGGTCCTGCACAGAACCGAAAAAAACAAAAAGTTACTTATACGGCTATTCCCCGGACCTCTCCAAAGGTGGGTTCTGACCACGATTTCGAGTCAAATCCAACGGTGGCGACGAGGGCCTCCGAGGAGGCCCAGAAAGACGGAAACGGACGAAGGGTGGAGGTCTGGGTGCCTTTTCCTCCTCCGAATTCTGGAAGCCTCCCGTGGGGCCTTCAAGGGTCCCCAGAAGTCCCGACCCTTTCCCCGGGACTGGCATTTCATCCCGAATCGTTGCTTGAAGGTCCCGGGGCCCGGCGAGGGCCCCCAGGAGCCGAAAACAGCCAAAAACTGGCCGTCTTGATTTCTGTTACGACGCGATCAGCTCTGGGCTGGAAGCCTCCCGTGGGGCCTCCAGGGGTCCTGCAGGGACCTCAGGCAACATCTCTCGCCGCATCCCCATCCCTGCGGGGAAAGCCGTGCGGCCCCGCTGCCCGATCCCCCCAGAAAAGGAGATGGACACCACCTCCGTCGGTCGGGTTCTGCGGCATCCCCCCACCTCGAAAGAAGAAAAAGAAACTCCAAAGCAAGCCCCTCCTCCTCCTCCGTCGTCCTCCTCCGTCGTCCGCCTCCGTCCTCTGTCCTCCTCCTCCTCATCCTGCTCCTCCTCCTCCTCCTCCTGCTCCTCCCCCCCCTCTCCCTCCTCATTCCCCTCCTCCTCCTCCTCCTCCTCCTCCTCCTCCTCCTCCTCCTCGGCCTCCGTCCTCCTCCTCCTCCGCCTCCGTCCTCCTCCTCCTCCTCCGCCTCCGTCCTCCGCCTCCGCCCTCTGCATCCGTCCTCCACCTCCTCCTCCTCCTCCTCCTCCTCCTCCTTCACAATTACTCAAAATGAATACTACTCTCCCTCTTCTCCTGATGACGGTTTGAAAGTGCTCGACCCCCCCGCGTACTGTTTTTTTACACACAGGTTTCCCCGGAGTTGGGTTTTCGCCTGCATTTTTTTCAAAATGCTGCTCTCGCTGCGGCGCCAGCCTCATTTTCGGGCCCCGCTCGTTCCGAATCGTGCTCCCGCTGCAGCGCTGGCCTCATTTCCGTGCTTCCGCTCGTTCCGAATCGTGCTCCCGCTGCAGCGCTGGCCTCATTTCCGCGCTTCCGCTCTTTTCGACTCGTGCTCCCGCTGCAGCGCTGGCGTCATTTCCCGTGCCATGCCACGGCATGCAATGCAATGCTAGGTTGATACTACGCTTTGCGGTGCTCTTCTACGCCATGCCATGCCGTGCTCTACAATGCATCGCGTACCCTTTCGGGATCATTGCCCTGCTCGACATCCGACTGTGCGAGTAGAGAGGGGATCTACGCCATGGTAAGGGATGGGAGGGAGGGGTAGGATGTCAGATATGACGCGAGCGCGAGCGCACCTAGCTTGTCCCCATCCCCCTCCCCCTCCCCCCTCCCCCTCCCTCTCCCTCGTCCCCCTCCCCCTCCCCCTCCTCCTCCCCCTCCTCCCCTCCCCCTCCCCCCTCCTCCTCCTCCTCCTCCTCCTCCTCCTCCTCCTCCTCCTCCTCCATTCGTTGATTTTTTGGGCCGCGGAAGCCCCCCCCACTTTGAGGCGCCATCGTTTTCAGGAAATGCCCAGCGGGAGGTCATCGTTTTCCTCCTCCTCCTCCTCCTCCTCCTCCTCCTCCTCCTCCTCCTCCTCCTCCTCCATTCGTTGATTTTTTGGGCCGCGGAAGCCCCCCCCACTTTGAGGCGCCATCGTTTTCAGGAAATGCCCAGCGGGAGGTCATCGTTTTCATGTATCGAGCTGTATGGCCAGGCAGCGCCGGCCAAGGAGCATCTACTATACACACGATTCCCGAGCGTGCGCGTCGCCCGTGCGTGGCCGACGCGCATTTAGTATGAGTATGTTCGGGCGGCGCCGATCGCACGCCGTGCAATAGCGCTGCCCCTGAGACCCACGCCCCGGCCTGCCCGCGCCCGCGCCTACCTGGGCGTCGCTTCATGGGGGGGGGGGGGGGGGGGGCGACAATAAAACAGAGCTAGAATCGGGACAAATCGCTCCAGAGCGTTCCGGAGCGCTCTCAGAGCGTTCCGGAACGCTCTGGAGCGGCCGCGGCGCCCAATACGTCCTCTTAACCCGCCGATTCTTGGGGATTTCGAGTTATCCCGATCCGATTTTGTCCCGATCTTCGCGTCGTTTGAGACAAATGGGGGGGGGGGGGGGAGAAGGGTGCACTTCTCGGGCCCCCAAAGGCCCCTCTTCCGCAGCCCTCGCCGGCCCCCCATTTGGTGGGCCTGTTTTCCACTACCACCATCATAAGTTGGAGGGGGGAAGGAGGTGGAGGATGAGGAGGAGGAGAAGGAGGAGGAGGAGGAACGAGGAGGACCACCTCCCACTCCAACTATGGTGGTGGTGGTGGAAAACATGCCCATCACCATTCATCGCCGCCCGCGCCTTACGAGGACTTCAGCGTGGCCGGGTCGGGCGGCGGCTGCAGGTCGATGGTGCCGCCCTGCCCGACGCGGTCCAGGTGCTCCTGCCGGATGTGCGCCCGGTAGGTCTTGGACTCCTGCCCGGGGCTGGGCCGGCGACCTCCCCCCACCTTAGGGAGCCCACAAAGGACGTACGCGCCCAGCTATGTACATGAACACGGCCCCTCGATCCGCGAGACCGGCCGCGCTATACGAACATTTGCGCAATGCGTACTCTCGAAACCAGCGTGGATTCATGTACGTGTACGTCCTTCTGTCGCTCCTAACACCTGCTACAGCCTGGCCAGCGCTGCGCACACTCGCCGCGGAATATTGCAAGAGATGCATGGACTTGCCGTCGCTCGGGCGTCCACTCCCCATGCCTTCTTCGGCGTCGTGCATGCATTTTCTCGCAAGCTGACCCAAACTGCTCCTTGATGGTCCCAGCCACGAAGAAAATGCACACGTCCAAGCGATGCCAAGGCTTGGTTCCAGCAACAACAAGAATTTCAACACATGTAGCAGCTGCACGGATGGATGGCAGCTCCTTTCCAAAATGCGGGTCCCGCGACAGACTTCCTCGAAACCAATGGCCAGAAGTGCAGACTTGTTGTGTATCCGCTTCGTGGATGGGCAGCGGTCCATTCTTTCAGAACGGGGGTCGAGCTGGACATCTGGCTTAAACTGCATGACCGACATCTTACCATCGCTCGGACGTCCATTATCCGTGCATGCTTCGGTTTCGTGCGTGCTTGTTTTGCTGAATGATCCAGGATGCTCCTCGATGGTCCTCGCCGAGAAAAAAACACGTCCGAACGATGCCAGGATATATGTTCTGCATCATTGATTCTGCGTTGTGAGGACGCAAGACATTTCAGGAATGGCTCACGCCTGATGCAGGACACTGGGGTGCTGGTCTTTCAATGGGGGCGCATCGTGTAGTGAACACGAGGGTAGCAAGGACTATGAGGTGACTTGGGACGGGAGGGCGCCTTGCAGCATCGCTGATGCATCTTGGGTTTACTCTGGCCCCTCCTCCAGAATTATACTTTCTGACTACTACTCGCCTCCTCGCTACCCTGACTCCGTGCAGAAGATACCCCGTCCATTCCACGTGCGGCTTTTTTGCACACACGCCACACGCGCACACCGGATCGCGCTGTTTGATTCGTCATGATGTCAATTTCCAATCCGATTGTTTGGTGTTCCCGCGGCTGACTGGGCACAGGCGCTTTGCTCACGTCGTTCAGAATGGCGCTCACGTCCCAGCGCGGGCCACGTTTCGGAATCCGAGTCTTTCATCCTCGTTGTCGCCCCCCTCGATTTCCCTCCTTGGCCTTCACTTGGTCCTCCTGTTCCTCCCGTTCCTTCCGCTCCAATTCCTGGTGCACCTGTTCGTCCTCGTGCACCTCCTTCCACGTCCTCCTCCTTTTCCTCCTACTTATCCTCCTGCCCCCCCGCCATCTCCCCCTCCTGTGCACGCAGCTCCCCTTTTGCCAACTGCTCATACCACGATGGCGTTTTTGTGTAGGAGCTGCAGATCGACGATGACACGCGTCCGCGGAGAAACAATCAGCGCAACGCGAAGGGATGAGAGGGATGGGCAGGATGCCAGATGAGGCGCTAGCGCACCTAGCTTGTCCTCCCCCGTTTTCCTCTCTACTTCCACGTGCTCCTCCTCCCCTGGCTCGGAGAACGCGGAGGGAGAAGATGAGGCGATGAGGAGGAGGAGGTCTGCGACGCCTGCTGGTAGGACGCCTGCACGATCTCGTACCGAATCATGTCCGTCCCCGCCCGCAGGTCCTCTGCTCGAAGGGAGGCACGATGCGGATGCGCGGGCATGGGGCGACGACTACCACCACAACAACGCCGACGCCGACGCTGACGACAACGCTGACGCTGACGCTGACGCTGAGGCTGACGCTGACGACGACGCTGACGCTGAAAATGACGACGACGACGACGACGACGACAACGGCGACGACGACAACGCTGACGCTGACGCTGACGCTGACGACGACGACGACGCCGACGCCGACGACGACAACGTTGACGCTGACGCTGAGGTTGACGCTGACGACGACGACGACGACGACGCTGACGCTGACGCTGAAGACGACGACGACGACGACGACGACGTTGACGCTGACGCTGACGCTAACGACGACGACGACGGCGACGGCGACGACAATGCTGACGCTGACGCTGACAATGACGCTGAGGCTGTCGCTGACAACGACGATGACGGCGACGACGACGCTGACGCTGAGGCTGAAAGATGACGACGACCACGACGACGACGACGACGACGACGACGACGACGACGACGACGACGACGACGACGCATTTGACGCTGACGCTGACGCTGACGACGACGACGCCGCCGACGCCGACGCCGACGACGAGGCGAATGCCGCGGCAGCAGGCAGGACGGCCGAGGAGGAGGAGCTGCAGCAGCGGCGGGCAGCCCAGGCCGCAGGAGACGCGGCAGCAGGAAGGACGACGAGGCAAGAAGAGCAGCAGCAGCAGCAGCAGCAGCAGCTGCCAGCTGCAGGACGGGGGGTGGAGGCGATGGGGGGGAGGCGGGCAAGCCAAGTGCGCTTGCGCCATGTCTGGCATCATACACCACTCCTCTCCATCCTTCAAATTTCGCAAACGGGCGTCGTAGCGAAGGTGGAACCCACCAAATGACCCCTATCGTGTTATGGGCAATCAGAAGAAGGGGCTGTGAATAAGAAGAGCTGGTCCCCTGCCTCCCACTCCAGTCGTCTTCCGTTGGAGCGCATCCGATAGGACCGCGCCCCCCAAGGGCGGACGTGGGCGGGTCGCGGCTTGCTCCTGCGCGCGAGCCCGAGCTGCGGGCGGAGGGGAGGAGGGGGAGCCAACTGAAGAGCCTGGGAGACACTGGACGTTGGCCCCCTGCCTCCCACTCCCGTCGTTTTCCGTTGGAGCGCATCTGATAGGACTGCGCCCCCAACGGAGACCAATGGAACACGACCGGGAAAACATCATCTCCGGACCGCCCCTTCGTCGGATTCCATTCACAAAGCCTCGGCCAAGGCCCGGGACTCAATTGTGGTAGGCGGTATGTAGGCCGTGACGGCCCTGCTCCGCTAGTCCCCCTGGCGCAAGCCGCGGCGAACCGGCCCCATGGCGGAAAGCATGGGAAGCTATCCCAAATGCTCCTGCCGCCGGCGTGCCCACGGCAACGAGGTCGTCGCGAAGACCAACCAAGAACTTGCTGTAATACCCCGGCGGGTACCCAAGTCCGTCTGGGTCGCTGCGGCTGGCAAGCGGCCAGGATGCCCACATGTGCGCGCAGAGCGCAGGGTCTACTTTGCAGACGCACTTGGCTTCAAGCGTGGACTGCGCGTGGTGATGACCTGTGCGCCTGGTGGGGCCGAAGCGCACAGTGCCGCCATCCACTTGCAGAAGACGAGGCTTCATAGGGCGACGAAATCTATACATATCCACTGCTCCCTGGCCAGGCCCATCCTCAACCTGGCAGCGGTGTATACGCCACGCCCTCCTGGCTTGGCCAGGAGGGCGCATACACAGCTCCTGGGTTCAAGATGGGCATGGTCAGGGAGCAGTGGATATGTATAGATTTCGTCGCCCGACTTCAACTGTCCCAAGAGCTCGGACGGCACACGGAGCAGGAACCCATGAGCCATCATGTAGCCCACGCCCCGACAAAAACTTCCCGGCCTGGACACATATGCACCAGGAGTTGCCGCAACTTGCTCTTCTGAATGCGTGGCCTGGGAGGCGCTGGGGGCTGCAGCTTGCGCGCCCCAGACCTGATGTCAGCTAAGACCGTGGAGTGGTCCACGGGCCAATGATAACCTGCCAAATGGTGGAATTCGCGCCACGCTGACAACATTGTGTTGAGCGTGCCTTCGTGTGCCACTACGGCGGCGAATTTGCACACGGTACTCGAAGTGGTTGGGAGAAATGGCATGTTGAGGAGCTCGCAGACAGCGTTTACTGTCCTTGCGGAAGACATGTACCTGCTGAACGAATTACCGACAGAAGCCCCGAGCTTCTTTATGAGCAATACGTCTAGTATAGCGTGGACGTCGAAACCCTCTTGCTGAACAGAACGCAACATGCCGAACTGCTCGAGCGGAGGTGCGTTAACGTTTGTCCTCCGCCGCTTGCCAGGAGCGACCCCGATGAAGTCGCACACAGCGTCTTGCCGATTCCAGTCTCTTGAGAACGTCAGTGTCGGCGCACCCTCTCACCAGCAGCAGCCATGGTTTCAGCTCCTCCACACATGGGGAAGCAGCAGCTAATTAGCCGCTGAAACTCACGAGGATCAGCATTTCGAACTTCCTCCAGAGATCCCCAACCCGCAGCCTCGAGCGATGACCGGGCACGGGAAGGCAGACACTCCCAGGACACCTTGAAAGGCTGGTCCTGTACGAATGAAGATTGCGAGTGCAGAAGGGGGACTGGCGGGCGCCAGCTGCCCGCCAACTGGGACGCAAGAGACGGGGTCCGGAGGCGTGCAGCTCTGGTTCGCCTCGCCTCGCGAAGAGCCGCGGAGGCAGCCGCCGCGCGCTGCTGGAAGTCGGCGGGTGCGGCGGGGCGCATCGACCTCCCAGTGGACCCCGCGCCGATGCTCACTGCGGAGCCGGGGCGGCCCGCACCGCGAATCTGCGTGTGCCCTGTGAACCTGCACGTGAAACAGCGCGACTGCCACGCCTGACAGAGAACCCGGAAACTGCGGGCAACGCTGGCAGTTACGGCCCCGGGCACACGATGAATCCGAGCGGAGTCCAGGGTCCCGCGGCCAAACGCACAAGATCCGCATAAGGATCGATAGCTCCAGAAAATGCATCCCGCTGGAACCGCACTTCCTGAGAACATGTCGCTCCGAAAATCCGCCAAGGTCGAACCGCGGTACTCAAATCTTCCGTGCACCGCGGGACGCATGCACAATGACAGACACGCGAAACGAACTCCCCGAGGCCCAGCACGAGTAGCCATCGAAGATGAACGTTGGGATCGAGAGCTCAGGAAGATGCGCATCGCTGGAACCACGTTTTTCCTGACTTCTCTTCCCGTGCATCGCCGGCCGCGCGCACGAGAAAGACTCTGGCCGCACGTCCCACAAACATGCACCGAGCAGACATCCACCTGCGACGCCCAGGCCCGCGGCACGGAACGGCACGCAACGCGCCGCCGAGCAATGCAGCGCAGAGTGGCGCAGCCAACGCCCAGCCGAGGCAGACCAAGCAGAGCCGTCACATACTGCGGCCCTCGCGGAAGCACAGACGAGTCGCCACACAGAGTGCACACAGGCAGACGCCTCCTGCGAAACACGTGCAACACGGCGCACGAGCCCTGCCCCCCGACAGGGCCACGAACCTTCAGTGCAGCCAAGCGCGGGTGCCCAACCCGCCGCCTCGGAGAAGACCCCCGCACCCACCCCTGGAGGGGAGGGGGGGGGGAAGGAAGGGGAGGGGACGGCAGGAACAGGGGGCAGGGAAGGGGCACGAGGGAGGGGCAGGGGAGGACGGGAAGCAGCAGGCAGCAGGAAGCCACCCCGACAGCTCCCGCCGCACATTGGCTTTCCGGCTCGTCGCGCTGGCGCCCTGGCCGTGTCCCGCAAGCAATTCGAAATCGCACTGGGGGCCCCCGGACTCCCCGAACATGGTGGGAGGAGGGGAGCGAGAGAGGATGGACGAAAGAGACGGCGATGGCAATGAAGGCGCAGACGACGACGAGGACGTTGTAAGCCACAGCCCTGGATAATCATTCCCCCCCTTAACACCTGAGTGATTCTTATCCCCGCCCAATACAGTTTTGGTCAGGGAAGAGGGGCGTCAAGGGCGAACTTGATTATCACAGGGGAAGTTGCGAATCGAAGTTGCTCTCCTTTTATGTTGAATAGCAAAGATTCCTAGGGATTGCTTTTGTTTTCCGAAAAAGTCCAATGAATGTCCCACGGAATCCGGTGGATGTATCTATGGATTCCGATGGATGTCCTAAGGAATCTCATGGATGTCCTCAGGATTTCGATGGATTTCCGAAAAAAATCCTATTTGCACATTGCTTGTTTTTATCTATTTCTTGCTATGAGCGTTTTGGATCATATTGCTCATCATCATCATCGTCATCATCATCATCATCATCATCATCATCATCCTCATCCTCATCATCATCACCATCATCATCTCATCATCATCATCGTCATAATCCTGGCCATCATCATCATCATCATCATCATCATCATCATCATCATCATCATCATCATCATCATCATCATCATCATCATCATCATCGCCATCATCTTCAGCATGCTGCTCAGATCTCCAGGAAAACGTTTATTGACTCGCCTGAACACCAACAATTAACATCCCCAGGGCGTTAATATCAGGAGCAGGGGGTTAGATGCTCGGCGACTCAAAGATGTTCATACCTGTGTTGCTGGCGCTGGCCGGGCCACTGCACGATGCCGGTCGGGCGGGCGGCCTCGTCCACGGCGGAGGCGGCGCAGGCCGAACCTCGGAAGAAAACGGCAGAGGAGCGCGGGCCCAGCCCCGCGCGGAAGACCAGGGAGGCGCACGCCCTGCCCTGCGACGACCCAAAGGGTGCCCGAAAACCCCGCCCCGGCGAGGAGACCGAGGGAGGCGCGAGCCCTGCCCTCCTCCTCCTCCTCCTCCTCCTCCTCTTCTCCTCCTCCTCCTCCTCCTCCTCCTCCTCCTCCTCCTCCTCCTCCTCCGCCTCCTCCGCCTCCTCCTCCTCCTCCTCCTCCTCCTCCTCCTCCTCCTCCTCCTCCTCCTCCTCCTCCTCCTCCTCCCCCGGAAACGACTGCGGGGGTGCTGCGAATAGCCTTGCCCAACAGAGATGACCACTCGCGCGGGCCACCACCGGCCCCACAGGCGGGGATCGAAGTGCCACTGCGCCGGCGCGTCTGCAGACACTTGGCGCCAGCCGCGTGCCAGGCCCGACGATCAGACGGCTCAGCGGATCTGCAGGGTTCGCCCCGGACGGGATGCGGACCACCCAGAGGCGCGCGCCTCGCAGGCGGGTTTCCCGCCATACCTCTGCGCTCAGGCAGCACAGCGTGACCGATCCGCTCATGCCCCTTGTGGATGACGCCCTCCGCCGCGGAGCTGTCCACGACGATGGTGACGTCCGCGCATTCCAAGTGGCGGCCCCACGTCCGGAAAGCCAGCCAAACCCATAAAGTTCTGGCCTCGTTGATGCGCTGTTCCCGGCCGCGGGGCAGGGAACGCTCGAGGGACGAATCTACGGGCAGGACGAAAATCTCGGCGACTGGCTTCCGCGCGCCCACGAGGATGACCCCCAACGCCTCAACGCCGTGCGGCTCGCCGCGGACTCTGGCGTCTCCGATAAGAACGCAGGGCGGGCGCGATCGAGGTAGGCGCAGCGCTGGCCTGGAAAACTGCCCGGGCCCCGGCGCACTGAACATCTCGCGCAAACTATCGACGGACATCCGGAAACGCCGATCCGTCCGCGACGACGACCCGTGGGCCTGGTAGTGGATGGCCCGGAGGAACATGCCGCCTACCTTGCCCCACACCCAGGAGAAGGCCCAAGCGAAGCGCCCCGCAAGCTTCGACGCCGCACCTGGGGCACACTTGTCTCGAGCCTGCGACAACTCGGCCGCGTAATCGGTGGCTTTTTGTGCGGGGATGGACCACTCCACGAGAACGTCGTCCGCCATGCCGCGCGCGCGGCGGTGGCAGGTGGAAGGCGGCCCCCAGAAGCCCGCCGTCGCGCCTCGGCCCGAAGAACTTGTCTTCCAGGTCCCCGGGTCCAGCGACATCGAAGCCGACGAGCTCGCGCAGGTCGCACAGCAGCCGGAATTCGCCGGCGGCCAGGCTCTGGGGAGCGCACCCGACCGCGTCGTCTACGTGGTGGTCGCAGGGCAGCCCGAAGAACCGGCGGGCCACCGTCGCGACAGCCCGCGGCATACGCGAACACTGCTGCGACTGGGCGCGGCCGCCGAATGTCATGACAGTTGGAATGACTGCGACCACCTCGTCCTTGCCAGAGTCGAGCACGAAGCAGACGAAGAACCAGCGATGCTCAGGGAACAAGCCCGCCTGGTGAAACATTTTCTTCCAATTAACTTTGGCCAAATTGAAGTGCCCCTGCCGGGCCAACGCGCTGACGCCGTCGATGCCCATCATGTGCATCTTATCATCCAGCTGGGTGGAAGAAGCCACGCCAGAAGCACGAGATCCTAGGCAGCCGCGGACTCTGCCGTCCTGCACGACGCCGAAGTACAGCTGGTCGACAAACTCGCGAAGCTGACACGGGACTCGCGCGCCAGGTCTGAGAGCCCAGAGCCCTGGACAACCTCGAAGCGCCCGCGCGCGGTCTGCGCGGCGACCGCCGACCACAGCTCGCCCTGGTGGGCAGCTGCCACGGATACGCGGCCGGCGTCTCGACGCTCTGTGGCTTCCCCGTCGGCGGGCTGCCCCGCGCGCGGCGACCAGGTGCCGCTCGGGGGGATGCGCCCGATCGCCGGGAGCCCGCCGTGCGGGTCATCGACGGACCCGGCATCGTCGTGGCGGGCCGCTGTCAGGGAGCGGCCCGTGCAGGTGGCCGCACACCTGCGCGCGAGCCCGAGCTGCGGGCGGAGGGGAGGAGGGAGCCAACTGAAGAGTCTGGGAGACACTGGCAGGAGGAGGAGGAGGTGGTGGTGGTAGTGGTGGATGGC